CGGCGACGGCGATGCGGGCGGCGGCGACGCCGACTCGGCGCCTTCCACCGTCTACGTCGGGACAGAATACGAGCTGATGGCTGCGGCATGGATGGAGCGGCAGCGGGGAATGGAGTCGGTGGCGCAGGTCGGTGGCGCAGGCGATGACGGTATCGATGTGTCGGCCGTCTGGCATCGCCCTGACGCTGCCGCTGCCGCCGATAGTTGCGGCGATCCGGTCCATGTGTGGGCACAGTGCAAAGCGCTGGCCACCAAGGCCTCAACCGTCCACATTCGCGAACTGGAAGGCGTCCTGCTCCGTGTTGCTCAGCGGCTGCCACACGAGCACCACCTCGGCATGCTCATCTCGTCGGCGGGCTTCTCGGATCCATGCCTCTCCTACTTTCACGCCTCGTCCTCATCAGCCATGATGGCGCTCACACTAGGCTACGATGACGAGCTTGTCGAGGCCCACATCAACCGCCAGGCCCGTGCCGTCTTTCCCGATCTTGTCTTTGCCTCGCTCCTTGATCCCCAGCGCCGACGCCTCCTCGCCATGGTCTATTACGGCGTCGTCCTCGACACATCGCTCTCACCAGACGTGTAGCAGTGTAGCAGTGTAGCATACACAAACATCCATGCCGTCATAGTCGAGTCGCAATGAAATCAGAACGTCATCAGTGACCCTCGCCCCATCCTCCTCCCAAGCGATTTGTGGCAGTCGCAGCGGCACGTCTTCGATTCGCCCACAATGAACCCGCCGCTTCCGTTTCTGTCCACTCGACTCGACACCCACGAGACCAAGCCGGACAACCGCAAGCCGGTCTACCACCTCGCACACACACATTGCAACAATGGTACGTAGAGCAGGCATACACTTTGCTCTCATTTGCATGGTTGCTCGTTTGGCATCCCATTACTTTCCTCAGGCCCTCTGCTTTGGCATACCCGCCCTCTTGCCGTCCGTTGCGCGCGCCAAGTGACCAAACATTTGAGACATTCGTCAGTCGATGTCGTCACTATCCTCAAGGTCACAGTCCTGGTACGGGCGCTAACCAACAGCTACACAAGTCTGGGTCACAGTGCCTATATTAGGCAAGGTTATATCTTGGTAGAGCTTGTTGGCCTGTTTCTAGCCGATACAGGCAGCTTGCTTGGGCTCGGATTGTGTCGACAGTCGGGAGGAGGGAAAACATGTCGGCTCGGGCAGGTTGTAATTTTGGAGCCTTTCGGAGGGGCGGGGGGCATGCAGGAGCGATAGGAGGACGATGAAGGACTTACATTTGGGCAACGTGACGTATGCTTGGATTGGGATCAATGATGATGATGCAGGCATCCACAAATGAGAATCTGCCGCCGGCGGTGATGCGGCGGCTGGTGAAGGAGCTGAAGGCTATGAAGCGGTCCCCGCCCGACGGCATCGAGCTCGTCATTGGCGAGGAGCTGTCGCAGGTGACGGCGGACATTACCGGGCCCGAGGCGACGCCGTTTGAGGGTGGCGTCTTCCGGGTTCTCCTCAAGCTGACTTGTGAGTTCCCGGCTGCGCCTCCGGCCGGCTTCTTCCTCACCAACATCTTCCACCCCAACGTGAGGCCCGAGACCGGTGAGATCTGCCTCAACATCCTCAAGAAGGACTGGAAGCCCGACCTTGGCCTTCGCGACGTCCTTCTCACCATCAAGTCGCTCATGATCTTCCCCAATCCCGAGTCGGCGCTCAATGAGACCGCTGGCAAGCTGATGCTGGAGGCTTTTGATGAGTATGCGTCGCGAGCGCGCCTCATGACCTCGATCCACGCCACCCCCGCCGCGGCCCGTGGCGACTCCCTTGCCGCATCCAAGTCGCAGCCTGTGGCGGCCGCCGAGGCAGCCGCTGGCTCTGTCACCACCGCCTCGACCACCCTCACCGACGCCACCAACGCCCCGGCCTCCACCGCCCCGCCGTCCAAGATCGCTACAAAGACCGCCGCTGCGCCCAAGGGCGTGTCCAAGAAGAAGGCCAAGGCCGGTGGCAAGAAGAAGCGCGGCCTCAAGCGTCTGTGATCTCTCGGTCATGCCTCGCCAGTCTGTGTCTTGAACGCTGTACCTATTCCTCCCCTTGGCACCGGATGCGCCATCCACCGGATGCACCATGCACCAATGAATCTTGCCAACCCTTTATCTCCTAACCCCCCCCCCCCAGCCGCTGCTGCGCGCAGCGATTGTGCGCAGCTGTCGCCCCCGCCACACTCACCCAACGCCCAACACTCAACACTCAACACCCAACCAGACCGCCAGCCCACGCACTTGTCGCCATCGACTCTATGGCAATGGATACCAACACCGAGCGCAGGCTGTTGCGTGTGGCAGACCATGTGGCTCTCGGCCTTCTCGAGAGCTGGGAGCGGTACCTTGAAGCGCAGGGCGAGGTGGAGGCCTCTGTCCGCTCGGGCTTTGTCTCGCTGGCAAAGGCAAGGTTTGACGGCAAGACGCTCTCGGGTGGCATTGGCGCAGACGGATGGGACGAAGCTGGTATGCGGGCGCTTGTTCGGGTGGTGGTCACTGAAGACGCATCATCATCATCGATCGACGACAACATTAACAACAACAGCAGCAGGACCAACGTCACCGACATCGCCTCCACGCCCTCGCCCAGCGGCCTCTCCCGTCGTATCGCCCGTAATGGTCACTTGATTCCACACCTGGACGCTATGGCCGATCCCCACTTTGACGTGACTACCTGGTTGGCCGAGATTGATCAACAGCTGGCATACCTCCCGGCTCGTCTCCCTCCTGGGGCCAAGATCAGGGATGAGGACTCGGACGAGGTTATCAAGGTCAAGGACCCGCTGCGATGGTACGGGATCATGGTCCCGTCCTCGCTGCGGACTGCTCAGTCACGCTTTGTCGCTGCTCTCGACGCCGCCCTTCTCGCTGCAGCTGCCTGGTCCAAGATCGTTGTCCTTGCCCACACCTATGCCGCTCTCGATAAGGTCCTCTGCTTGAATGGTGTCCCCGATGCAGCTGCTTCCGACCCAGCTGCTTCCGACCCAACTGCTACCGATCCAGCTTCTCCTGACGCAGCTGCTTCCGATCCAGCCGCTCCCGATGCAGCCCGCCCAGCACCTGCTTCCGACCCATCGTCTGCCTAATTCCCCACCCTCAAGCAAATGATACCTATTTGCTGTGTACTCCTGTAGTCATCCGTGCCCGCCCATGACGTTATCCATGATATGTACGAGGTAGAGAGACGAGCGACAAATGATGGGTGTTCGTTCGTTCAACGAACGTTTCCCGGCCAACAACAGCGGGAGACAGCCCGGACCGGACGACGAGAGGAAGGCCAAGGGTCACCGCACTGTGAGCCAGTTGGAGTAGAGCACCATGGGAGGGTGCTGTTCCAAGGCTGCTGGAGGTAACAGTGGCGTGGTTCCAGGCAGTGACGGAGCCGTAGTACGTCCCTTTCTAACTTTCCCATCTACGCCCTTTTCCTGAGCCAACTGCGGCCTTTCCCACCCCCCCCCCTCCCCTGTCCTTCTCCCTCATACCAACCGCCACCCTCTTCCGCTCCCCTCCCCACCACCACCACCACCATCCACAGCCACCCTTACTACCTCTACCACACTACCACCACCACCGCCACCACCACCACGCCAACTCACCACAACGACGGCGACTCACTCTGCTTTGCCCTTACATGCACCCCCCCTCCCCCCCCCCTCCACTTCAACTCTTCTCGTCAACCCCAACCGTCAACATGCTCTTCTGATCATCATCATCATCATCATCATCATCATCATCATCATTGTCATCATTGTCATCGTCATCGTCGACATCACACTTGCACCTATCATTAATCGTCGATCGCCGAACTCAACTATTACATGGCAATCTCATCACTACAGATGCAAGCTGTCGATGGGAGCTTGACACCTCGGTACGAGTTTGACGGCTCTCGGCTTCGAGTCGCTGGCGTCACTGCCATCCCTCCATCAATTGTGGAAAAGTACTCGCAGACAACCTCGTTTGTCGATCTATCTTCCTGTGTACGTTCGCTTCCTTTCTTCTTCCCTCGTCCTCTTCCCCCTCCCCCGCCTCGTCCCGCAACTCACCCGCGCACCGCCATCCCCACAGGGTCTCCTCGACGTCAGCTCGCTTGAGCATTTGCAAGACTTTCCGCGTCTGACAGGCCTGGCACTTGCCGACAATGCACTGGACACGCTTGTCGCCTTTCCGAACCTGCTCCGGCTGACGGATCTGGACCTGTCGCGCAACGCGCTCGGCGACGTGCACGAGATGGTGACGCTTCTCAGCTCCAAGACGCCTGCGCTCAAGACACTCGACTCGCGGATGAACCCGTGCTGTCCGCACCCGCGCTACCAGGTTGACAAGACTGACGCAGACTACAACATCTACCGCAACTATGTCCTCACCCGCCTCCACTCGCTCGAGCTTCTCGACGAGCAAGAGGTGACCGAGGCCGAGCGTGAGGCCGCCCGCGCCATTGGCCGCCTCATGGGCAAGGGCACCGAGCTCACCCCGCTCGCCACCGGTAGCGCCGGTGAGCCCGACGCTCACGGTGGCTCGCTCCTGCATGCTGCCACAGACACCTCGCTTGCCATGCGCGATCCCGAGACCGGCGCCCTCCTCACCCACGAGCAGGCCCTCATCCTCAAGCGCCGATCGCTGCACAAGATCCGCCGTGAGGTCACCGCCGCCGCTGCAGGCAACGCCGCGCCTGGCTCGTCCGGCGGCGACGTTTCGGACGAGTCGCGGCGCATGGTGCGGTCGCTGTCCACGACCACCTCGTCCGACTTTGTCGAGACCATGCTCTCGTCCATGGACATTGTCCACTACCAAGAGGGCGACCTCATTGTTCGCCGTGGCGACGTCGGCTCGGCCATGTTCTTCATCATCGCTGGCACTGTTGAGATCATTCTTCCCGACCGCGCTGAGGGTGAGCAGCGCCCAAACCCGACCTGTGCCTCGGGCGACTTTTTCGGCGAGATCGCCATGTTTCTCGAGCGCAAGCGGACAGCCTCAGTCCGTGCCGCCACAGACGTCGACGTCTGTGTCCTCACTAAGGACATGTGCGAGGCCGTCCTCTTCCAGTATCCGCTCATCCATCACGAGTTCCTAATGCTCGCCCAGAACAGGCTGCAGGCCGATCTCGACGGCCAGGGCTCTGCCGCCCATGCCACGCCGGCGTGGATGAAGTCCGTCGCCCACGCCGTCGAGAACATGGCTTCGCCGTCCAGCTCCCCGTCAGGCGCATCCCGTCCGCGCGCCGGCCCGAATGCTGGATCAGTCCGATCACACGCTGAAGCCGGCTCTGCCACCGCTTCGGGCGACGCCCTCGTCGCTGCCTCGGTATCAACAGCAGACATTCACGAGCAGCGCCGCAAGCTCCGCATGGGCGCTCTCCATCGCCAGTTTGAAGAGTGGGACGTCGAGCAGAACAAGAACACCACCCACCGCCGCAAGATGAAGGCCCACAAGCGCAAGTGGTTCTCCATCAACGTCGCGCGCGGCATTGACCAGTACGACATTCCCAAGTTTCTTAAGGAAGTCCTTGGCTCGATGATCACCCAGCACTACGAGGGCGGTGACTACATTGTCCGCCGCGGCGAGCGCGGCTCGTCCATGTTTTTCATTGCCCGCGGTGTCGTCGACATCGAGTTCGACGCCCCTGCCGACGGCTCGGCAAAGCGCGAGAACGTTACCCTCGGCGCTGGCGACTTTTTCGGCGAAATCGCCATGTTTATTGAGGGCAAGCGGACCGCCTCGGTCGTCGCGCGCACCGAAGTCGACCTCTCCGTCCTCACCAAGAAGGTCATGGACTCGGTCCTCTCCAAGTACCCCATGATCAAGGAGGAATTTGTTCTCCTCGGCCAGGAGCGTCTCCGCAAGGACCAGCAGTGGGCCTCCATTGTCGGCGGCGAGCCCAAGAAGCCACACAACTGGATGGAGAAGATTTCCCGCCGTGCAGGTACCCTCTTCCTCAAGGCAAAGTCCGGTACCGCAGACGACGCAGACGGTATGCCCGAAGGCGCACTCTCGCTCGCTGCCATCTCACCCTCGGGCTCCCAGCTTGCCACCGCACTCAAGTCCAAGCGCGACGAGGTTATCTCGCTCATGCGCCAGTGCTACGTCCTCTTCGACTTTGAGGATCCGCAGGCCGACCCACAGGGCAAGGCCCACAAGCAGCGTGCGCTCCTCACCTTGGCAGAGGTCTACGGCACAGGCACCGACGTCGCCATCGACGAAATGGAGTACCCCGTCCTCCTCTCGCTCCTCCGCGCAAACCTCCTCTTTGAGCGCCCGCGCCCACCGGGCCTTGTCACCGAGCTCCATGCCGCAGACTTTGACTTTACTGACGAGCCGGAGCCGGCCCTCCTCAAGTCGTGGCCGCACGTTGAGGTTGTTTACCACATCTTCAAGTCGTTCCTCAAGCACCCGTCGTTCTCGGTCACCCTTGCCAAGGAGTACATCACGCGCGACTTTGTCGCAGAGCTTCTCGACCTCCTCAACTCTTACGACGCCGACGAGCGCAACGCGGTCAAGGACGTTCTCGTTGTTGTCTACTCGACATGTACCTACCTTCAGCGGTTCCTCCGCGACTCGATAGCCCACGTCATCCTCACGTTTGTGTACGAGAACGAGCTCCACGCAGGTCCGGGCGAGCTCATTAAGCTCGTCCACGAGGCCGGCATGCTCGCTCACTTTGGCAATCCACCCGCGCCTGACGGTGTCCACTACATCTCCTCGGTTGTCTTTGCCCTCTTCAAGTCGGCCCAGCTCATCCGGTTTATCGATCCCCTGCTGGATCTAGTCAACGATGCCGTCCTTCCGCTGGCGGGTATGCCCAACGCCCTGCTCAGCTTTCTGGTCAAGTTCTGGCCCGCACCTCGGCTGCCAAGGAGGAGCTGTTCCTCCGTCAGGTTGGTGCAGTCTTTGACACGCTCGGCCCCGCCGGTGCTCTTGCCCTGCCGGAGCCCACCCGGGCCGCCGCCCTTGAGCGCGTTGCACTCTGCATCGAGTCGCCGCAGCTGCAGGTTGCAGAGCGTGCACTCAACATGCTCGGCACAGAGGCCTTTGAGGCCGTCGTCAACGCAAACCTCCGCTCTGCTCTTCCCGCGCTCATTGGCCCGCTCTACCGCAACTCGCGCTCGCACTGGGACCGCTACATCAACTCGCTCACCTACGACCGCCTGCAAGCCATCATGGAGCTCGACAAGATGGCCTTTGCCACTGCTCTGCAGGACTATGCCAAAACCGAAAGTCGCGCAAGAAGGACGAACGCGCACGCGCCGCGAGGTGGGATCGCATCGCCGCTGTCGCCGCGTCGAACCGCGCCGCCCGTGAGGCCGAGCTTGCCCAGTAAAAGCTCGTGACTACACCATCACTCCATCTCCCCATCATTGCCCCAAACCCAATACTCAGGCCGCACATTCCCTTATCGAATCGCCAGGTCATGGCGGTGGCCACCACACCGGGTCAGGTAGCCGACCAAGCGCAACCAGCTCACACACCGCACTCGCCCTCGCCCTCACCCTCACCCTCGCACCACTCTTCCGTCTTCCACTCGTCTTGCTTTTTCTCCGCCGGTGCTACCGGTGCTACCTCTTCCCGGCTCTAGTAGACGTCCTTGGCTGCGGCTGCCATGTCGTCGACTGCGCCGTCTCGGACGGCGTCGGCCATCATCAAGGACCGACTTGCGTCGTACCACCGATCGTTGCAGAGGAGGACTCCGGAGCGGACGGTATCATTACATGGCGGCCAATATGGGTATGGTGATGGGTACCTCCAGTCGCCCTTGGCGGCGACGTCTGTTCCGGGATCGGCCATCTCTGCATCCTTGCCGCGCAATGCTGGCGTCCTCTCGCCGCCACATTGCTCGCCACAACCATCGGCGTCGGCGTCGGCGTCGGCGTCATCATCACCATCGGCATCCGCATCTTCTTCATCCACAACATCGGCATCGTCGCCAAGGTTGACGCCGTCGCTGCACGAGGGCGGATCCTGTGAAGCCGGCGCAAAGCCGTTCGAGTGGACCGGTGCAAAGGTCGACACGCATGATGCTGCCCACGCGCCTCTGCTTGGTGGGCGAACACGAAGCCGCCGGGCACAGATGGTGCGGGAAGCTGGGGTGCTCAAGTGGATTTCATACTATGTGCCGATCGTCCACTGGCTCCCGGTGTACTCGCCGAGCTTCCTGCTGTGGGACGTGCTTGCCGGCGCCGCTGTGGCCGCCATGCTCCTCCCACACTCACTTTCGTACGCCACGCTCGCGGGACTGCATCCTGTGTATGGCCTGTATGCTGCCGGTGTCCCGCTCCTTGTCTATGTGGTGTTTGGCAGTTCGCCGCAACTCTCGGTGGGCCCGGACGCGCTGGTTGCGCTCCTCGTGGGATCATATGTCAAGCGAGCAGGGGCCGGGGTGGCACCCGAAGCTGCGGCAGCGGCACTGACGCTGGTGGTGGGCGTTGTGTGCATGCTTCTTGGGCTTGTTCGGTTCGGGTTTCTGGAAAACGTGCTCTCGTCGAGCATTCTGGTGGGCTACCGCCTCGGCGTTGCCATTGTGCTGGTGTGTGACCAGCTCGACGCACTGTTTGGGCTCCCGCAGCAGGCACACGTGTCTGACTACGCGTCGATCCGCAAGATAGGATACGTGTTCACCCACTTTGGCGAGGCGTCGGGTCTCGCCATCGCGTGCTCGCTCTCGTCGCTGGTCTTTCTTGTCGCCACGTACTGGCTCAAGCAGCGTGTGGTGCGGCAGTGGCCGGTGTCGCGGGCCCGGACTTGGGTCCTGCTCTTCCCCGAGTTTCTTGTGGTTCTTGTTGTCATGCTCCTTGTCTCGCGGTGGGGTGAGCTCGACAAGCACGGCGTGGCTGTTGTGGGCCACACCTCTTCGGGGCTGCCGTCGGCTCGGCTGCCGACGTGGGAGCTTCTCGGGCCCGCAGTCCAGTCCGGGACCGCCATCGCCATCATCGGCTATGTGTATTCGATTTCGGTGGCCAAAGCGTATCCTGCGCGGGCGACGGCCAACACGCCGCGGCTCTCCGGCAACCGCGAGCTTGTGGCGCTGGGGCTGGCCAATGTCGCCGGCGCCATCTTTGGCGCTTTCCCAGTCTTTGGCGAGTCGTCGCGATCGTCGCTGCAGGCGTCCACCGGGGCGCGGACCCAGGCCACCGGAGCCACGGTGGCGCTGCTCTCGTTTGCAACGCTGCTCTGGCTCACCCCGACGCTTTACCACCTGCCGATCGGCGTCATTGCTGCCTTTATCCTCCGTGCCGCGCTGCTGCTGTTCGAGGGCCCCGAGGTTGTCTTTCTCTACTCGCTGCGGGCCATGTCCGAGCTCGCGCTTGTAGGTATGGCGCTGGTCATCACGGTGGTGTGGGGCGTCGAGGCTGGCCTGCTAGTCTCCATCGCGCTCTCGCTCTTGCTTGTCATTCGGGCCTCTTCATTCCCGCACTTTGCTATTCTTGGCGAGCTCCTGCTCTCCGAGAACTCGCCACACGCGCCGGGCTCTATCCAGCGGACCTTTGTCGACATCAACCAGTTTCCGTCGGCTGTTCCTCCGGCCGACACGCTTGTGCTCCGAGTGGACGAGTCACAGCTCAACTTTGCCAACATCGGCCAGCTGGTGGCAATCCTGGACAAGATCGAGCACCTCGGCTCGGTCGACGCCCATCCGTCGCAGCGCGACGAGCTGCACACTGTTCTGCCCAAGCTCCGGGCCGTCATCCTTGTTGTCGCCGCCGTCCACCACTTTGACGCTGCAGCACTGGCAGGCCTCAAGTCGTTGGTCGACAACTACCGCCTCCGCGGTGTGGCGCTCTACCTGGTCGGTCTCAACGACCATTGCAAGATCCAGCTGGTGGCCACCAACCTCATTGCCCGCATCGGCGGCTCGTCGCTCTTTTCTACCGTCGGTGCCGCCCTCGACCATGCCGAGGGCAAGACTGACGTCTCATTCTCGTCGTACCCGACCGCTGCTGCTCAGCTGGCGCTCTATGGGACAACTTGATCCCAACTCGCACCTCATGTGACAAACGTGGCCTTGTGTCCGTCGACCCGCGTCCAGCACGCAACGCAAAACGCCGGCTCGATGGCTGCTGCGCAGGTGGCGCAGAGGAGCACATGCTCGCAAGGCACAAACATGGCGTTGGCCGTAGCGCTCCCGCAGGCTCGGCACCCGTCGCCGTCGCCTGCCTCTGCTCGCTCGGAGCTCGCGCCTTCGCCGCCGTCGCCGCCGATCGGCGGGAGTTTGGCAAGAGCATTGAGCGCGCCAAGGTCGAGCGCCGTATGCTCAAACGAAGTCTGCTTGATCGGCCCGCGGCAGACTGGACAGCGAGTAAAGTGTTCGCTGAGCGTTGAAAGGCATGCGCCGCACACAACCCGGTGGCCACACGGCTGGAGGAGGCCATCACGAGGGTGTGCGTAGCAGATTTGGCACAACTCTCCGAGCCGCGATGCCCCGATCCGCTTGCCTGCACTCTTTCGCCGGCGCCGCTTCTTGGTGTTTGGCGAAGTGTCGAGAACCCTGCCGAGTTTGACCGGTTGGTCGGTGACCTCGTCAGTCTGGCGATTGGCCACCGTCCTCGCCCCAGACCTCGACCGCGCCCGGGTTGGCGGGCCCGGAGGCGGAGCCGGTTGCAGACCTGCGAGCTCGATCTGTCTCTCCGGCTTGCCATTGGCCATGCCGTTGCTGCTATTGCTGTTGCCACTGCTACCGGCTCCGCCGTCCATCACCCCGCTGCTGCTCGACTTGGCGCCATCGGTGAGCACGCCTGTGTCGAGCGCAGCCGACTCTCCCGCCGCCTCGCGCGCCAGCCTCTCTGCCCGCAGTGCTTCCCCGAGCTCACCTGCGGTGGAAGATCCTCCTGTCCATGCCTGTGCGAGTGCAGAGCTTGATCCGTACAGCGCCATGTCCGCCGAACGGAGAGTGCGGTGCGGTGAGGGGAAGGGGCAGCGGGGTGGAGACGCCCGAGTGGCCACCGCCTGCCGAGGGCGGGGCCGCCCGGCCCTGCCAGCATCACCCTTATCACCCATATCACCCGTATCACCCGTATCACCCATATCAACCATATCACCCGTATCACCCATATCACCCGTATCACCCGTATCATCGGCAACCCTGGCGCACCAGATCAGCGTGACAAGGCCAAAGCACGGCGACTGATCAGGCTACCACAAGCATAGACGCGCAAGTGTAGACGCAAGCGTGGAGGCATGTTCACACCATCATCACCCGACATCACACGCCATGACGACATGTGAACAAAAGAAGCCCCCATCACACCGGAACGCTAGCTACACAGATGACGACATCAAACAATGTCTCGATCAAAATGAGGACATTTGGCAAACGCCACGTGGTGACACCCGAAATGACCCATACCCAGCCAAAAGGCCAGAGGGGCGAGAGACCAAGCCAGAGCCAGTGTCAGAGCCGAACAGTTCGAGTCTAAGACCACCTCTCTCACACACACACACACATACACACATGACGAGTACCACTGCATGGACATCTGAGGCCTGGAAGGCGCTCGCTGAGCACAAGGCTGAAGTTTCGCCGCCAACCTTTTCGGTGGCTGCAGCTCTTGCCGACGACGATGGTCGGCTGGATAAGCTCTGTGTGGCCTTTCCCGACTCTGCAACGGCTGATGCTACGGGTGATGCGGAGGAGGATGTTGCGGGCATTGGCCTCCTCGCGGACTTTTCCAAGCATCTAGTGACCGAGCGAACGGTGGAGCTTTTCGGCGAGCTGGCGGCTGCCATGGACTTTAACGCTCTCCGCGCTGCCATGTTTGCGGGCGAGCACGTGAACGTGACCGAGGATCGCGCTGTGGGCCATGTTGCGCTCCGCACACCCGAGGCGTACAAGTGCCTCTACGATGACGGCGCATCGTCGTCATTTGACTTTGCCGAGGATGGCGCCGAGGCCGTCGGCACCGTCCTTGCCCAGATGAAGGCCTTTGCCGACTCGGTCCGCAGCGGGACGTGGAAGGGCGCAACGGGCAAGGCCATTGCCTCGGTCGTCAACATTGGCATCGGCGGCTCGGACCTCGGCCCGGCCATGGTGGTTGGCGCGCTCGCGCCATACGCAAAGGACGAGCTCGACATGCACTTTGTGGCAAACGTCGATCCGTCGAACCTCACCGAGGCGCTCGCCAAGTGCGACCGCGAGACGACGCTCTTCATTGTCTGCTCCAAGACGTTTACGACAGCGGAGACGCTGGCCAACGCCAACGCGGCCAAGGCGTGGCTGCTGGATCCGGCGGGCGGGCTCGACGACGCCGCCGTTGCCGCGCACTTTGTGGCCGTCTCGACCAACAGCGACGGCGTGGCGGGCTTTGGCATTGACCCGGCCAACATGTTTGCCTTCTCTGACTGGGTCGGCGGGCGTTACTCGGTCTGGGGCCCAATCGGGCTCTCGGTCATGCTCGCAGTGGGTCCCGAGGCGTTTGGTCGCTTCCTCGCCGGCGCGCACGCCGTCGACGAGCACTTTCTCACCGCTCCGCTCGCGTCGAATATCCCGTTCCTCATGGGCACCCTCGACTTGTGGTACACCAACTTTTTCGGCTACACCTCGCACGCCGTCCTCCCCTACGACCACAACCTCGGCCGTTTTGCCGCCTACCTCCAGCAGTTGACCATGGAGTCGCTGGGCAAGGGTGTGACCCGCGACGGCGTCCCGCTCCCGCCGCACCTCGTCACCTCGGGCTCGGTCGTGTTTGGCGAGCCCGGAACGCCGGCTCAGCACTCGTTCATGCAGCTTCTGCACCAGGGCCAGGTCGTGCCGGCAGACTTTCTCGTCGCGGCCTCGTCGCATGCAGCCATCGGCACCCAGCACGAGATGCTTGTCGCCAACGCCGTTGCCCAGGCTGAGGCACTCATGGTGGGTAAGAGCCACGACGATCCGGCCCGCGCCTTCTCGGGCAACCGTCCGACGACCACCTTTATGTACCGCAAGCTGACCCCGGCTACCCTCGGCGCCCTTATCGCCTTCTACGAGCATGCTGTCTTTACCGTCGCCGCCCTCCTCGGCCTCAACGCCTACGACCAGTTTGGTGTTGAGCTCGGTAAGAAGCTGGCGTCGGCCATTGTCGACGACTTTGCCGCGGCCTCAACCGATGGTCACGACGTCTCCACCGCCCGCATCATGCAGCACTACCTGGCTCTCCGCTAAATATCACACAACATGCCTCGCTTGGACGCACATCCTTACCAGCCATGTACATGCGCCAGTCTCACACCCGAGCCCTCTCGCTCCACTTCAAGTCGTCCGAGTCGTCCGAGTGAACCTCCGGTACGTGCATCTGCGCCTCACGGAACCGAATTGTAGTGTACCACATGACACCAGACACTGCGCCAACCATGCCGACCACAACCTGCGATGAGACCGGGGAGTTGAGATAGATGACGCCAAAGGCGAGAATGAGGATGAGCTTAAAGTGGCCCACAACGTGGTAGGTGAGCGGTGAAGTGTAGAAAATGAGCTGCGCCGATGAGAGATTGAGCGAGGCGGCCATGGCGCAGGTCAGAATCATAAATGGGACTCGGAGCGAGCCGGCAACGTTAGGATCGAGGTCGTCGCGGATGAGTGCGCGGAGCTGGCCGATCTGGTTGCTCTCAAAAAGAATCGAGGCCGAGGCAAAGCATATGCTTGACCAAAGAAAGAGGTGAAAGTTGAGCTGGTAGGTCGAGAGACCGAGCTCGGCCGGCTTGGACTTTGCCCACAGCGAGGTAATAGCCGAGGACAGGATGGCGATGATCGAGCAGGTGGCGCCCGTCACTGTCGGCCGATCGCCCGAGCTCGTCACAAACGCCACAGAAAGGCAAATTACTAACAGTGCTGCCTGTGTTGCGAGACTCACACTCTTGCGGAAGAGCACAAACTGAAGAACGGTAGTGACCGGCGTAACCAGGAGCTTGGAGAGCTGGTACGTGCCGACCGAGTTGAACTTGAGCGAGAGGTTGAAAAAGGCAATGGTAAAGAAGAACGAGCCAACCATGAGCGCCAGATCTTTGGTGGGCATGGGCTTGTAAGTTTCATAGCCAAGCTTGATGAGGCCAACCACTGCAAGCCATGAGCAAAACAGGTGCAGCGCAGTAAGGAGGAGGATGGACTCGAGGCGGACGACGTCGAACAGCCACTTGTTGACAAGAATTAGGCCAACCGATGAGGCAACATTCCATCCCACGTAGCCAACCGAGACCAGCATAGAGGCCGACGGCACAGGCACCTTCACAGCACCCATTGCAGCAGAGAATGAGATTTTCTGCAGACTCACCCGCTACTTGCTTCCTCCACACTCACGTGCGCGACGTGTCCTTGCAAGTTTGCAACTCAAGCGTGCCGAGCGCAAGCTTCGTCTCCCAACCCCGAAAAATGACACAACCCGTTCGATGCCGCTACCACCGCAGATACCCGTCATCGAAGCTACATACCGCCACAAGCTTTCATACGACTATATCCTTCCGTTTCCTGCAGCCTGCACATACTAACATACTAATCATCCGCCATTTCACTGCAGGTCTGGCTCCATCGGACCAAAAGATGCTCATATGCTTCCGTGAGCAGGGCAGCTCACCGCTCACCTACACCACCGCCAGCCCTCCCAAGAGCCACCAGCGACAACCAGCGACAATTTCAGTGGATTTTCGACGTGATCTGTAGTACGCAAGGCACGATGATAACATCAGTCCACTGGTAGCGATCGCATTCCCAATCCTATACCCAGTTTCAACTTGGCTGCTCGCCTGCCGGAGATGCAGCCAGCGAGTCGACGAGTGGCGGCCGACCGGCACTGACTCGGCGAGCAACCGACGACCCAGAAGGCGCATTTGGCAGAAACACGACGGCCGATCTTCTCTGCAGTATACGCATGCATCTAGTAACCGCTTGCCGTGCCCTCCCCCTCCCCAACCAGCACTAGCAAGGTCAGCGGCGTCTTTCTACTCTAACTTTGTCCATCTTTGCCAATACGGCAAAAGCAATACACACCAGATTCAATTATTCCTTCCCATCAATTGCTGGCTACTCGTCGAGCTTGTTGGCAACTGGCAACGGACGAATGCAGGGCGAGTCACCCCGTCACGCACCGTTTCACTCCCTCACCATGCCCATTGAGCTCGCCGAGGTGAGCTATGAAGAATCAAGTACGTCTTGCATACCTTTCCACCGCACGGAGTGGGGGAATGAGGGAACAGGAGTTTGGGGGGGGGACAGGACGGGGAGGAGGGGATGTAAAGGGGGGGGGGGGGTGACTGTGTACGTGGCGGTGCTCGCGTTGGCGATTCCAACGAAATGGTTGGTAGCCGACATGCGCTGAGGGGGAGAAAGCGGTGCTGTGGAGTGGGGGGTTGGTGTTAGGGAGGAAGGGAGCAGGGATGAAGACTGACCATGGAAGGGAACTGGCGGCTTGTGTACGTGTTTGGGGTGTGGGATGGGCGCCAGACGCGGTGCGTGCTATGCTCCATGAGCACGCCGACAATGCGTACTTTGTGTCGCGGGTGGCTCTGATCAAGACCAAGGGGCCCGAGCCGCGGCTGCTTGTCATCGGTCAGAAGCATGTGTACATGCTCAAAGCTGGCGGCAAGCTCTCGACTAGCTTTTCGATTCTGGAGCTGCGGGCGGTGGTCTCTCCGGATGAGACGACGGTGAGCCTCTCGTTTGCGCAGCCACCGCTCATTCCGGCTGCGATTGCCACGTCGGTCAACTCGAGCTCTGTGGCGACGCTGGACATCAAGACGCCCGCAGCGACCAACGTGATCACGTGTCTCGCGCGCGCGGTCTCTGTGATCTTTCCGGACAAGCCGGCAGACTCGGGCGAGGGCGTCAAGTTTGTGGTGACACCGCCGACACGGGTCAAGAAGCTGCCTGTGGATGCACTGGCTTGCGGCAACTACGCGCTGGCGATGGCAGTCATGTCATCGTGGCTCGGCGCGCCACTCCGCGAGGACATCATGTGGGATGTGGAGAACTTGTTTGCCGTCAACTCGGTCAAGGACTTTAACGTGGTCGAGTTTGACGAGGTCCGCGACTACCGGCCGCTCCTGCTCGCGCTCAAGTACAACTCGTGGTTCCGCTGCTTCACGGCGTCGGGCCCTAGCGTGGACAAGGATGTGCTGAAAGTGCTGGCTGTGGTGATGCGGACCAACGGCCACCTGGAAAAGCTCAACTTGTCGGGCACCGGGCTCAAGTCTGAGTTTGCGGGTGTGTTTGAGGCGATGGCAGCCAACCCGTACCTTGCGGTCAACAACCTCGACCTGTCTGGCAACGCGCTGGACCAGGCGTCGTGCGACGCGCTGGCCAGCCTCATTGTCAGCCTCCCGCACGGCCTTGCCTCCCTCAACCTCTCCGGGTGCGGGCTGAAGAAGAAGACGGCGATGGTCATTGTCAACGCGCTGAAGAAGAACAGCCACCTTGTGTCGTCGCTCGACGTGCTCGACCTGTCGGGGAATGACCTTTCCGGGTGCACCGCTGGCATGGCAGCCTTCCTGGCGCAGCCCAACTCGATCGGGACGCTCAAGCTCGCGGACACTGGGGTGGTCATCGAGCAGGTGCTCTCTGCGCTTCAGCGCGGGTCGTCGTCGCTGCGGACGCTCGTGCTGGACAACGTCAAGTTTGGGGCCAAGGATGCCAAGGCGCTTGTCCGCGTCCTGCAGGGTGCCGAGTCGCTCAAGGCGCTCTCGCTTGCCGGGAGCAAGGTCCCAGTGGCTTCACTTGGGGAGATCATTGGGGCCATTGGCAACAACCCAATTCTGCACGAGTTTGAGCTCAACGCGGCAGCCAACAGCTTTGGTCCCGACGGCGGGCGGGCGCTGGCGGAGGCGCTTCCTGCGGTGCGCAACCTTTCCAAGCTCAATGTGGCCGAGAACGAGCTGGGTGATGACGGCGTGCTTGCGCTGGTCATGGCGCTGACACAGTCGACGTGCCTGGAGACGCTTGTGCTTGACGGCAACTTTCGCGGCAAGCCGACCAAGTCGCGGCCGGCGGCCATGGACGCACTCTGCTCGCTCATCGAGTCCGAGTGCCCGCTCACCGAGCTCTCGTTGGCAGGCAACGCCAAGGCTGCGCTCAAGGCTGACACGCTCATCTTTCTCGACGCGCTCGGGGCGAACACCTCGCTGACCAAGCTCGACATCTCGGGCAACCAGATGGGCGACCGTGGTGCGGCTGCGCTCTCCAAGGCACTCCAGCTCAATGACACCCTGCGATCGCTGTCGTGGGACGAGAACGGTACATCGCAGGTCGGCTTGCAGCACTTTAAGACCGGCCTCTCGCGCAACTACTCAATCAAGGCGATGCCGCTACCGCTCATCGACATCAACGCCTCGCTCCGCGACCCGGAGCAGGTCTATGCGCTTGTCAACGAGATCCAGGCCTCGCTCTTCCGCAACCAAAACCCGAACCAGTTCCGCGCGTCGGCGACCGGCCTCACCGGCGTCTCGTCGCTCAACATGGTCCGCGCCGAGGAGTTCTCGCGCATTGTGCAGCGGATCCGGGCAACCGGCTCAGGCGCCGACCTTGAGTCCCACTCTGCAGCCATTGCCGACGCCGAAGCCACTCCTGCGGCGCAGACCGAGCTTGCCTTTGCGGCACAGTCGATGGTGGCGACGATGGAAGTTGATCTCAAGAACATGCTCGACGAGTTTGCCTCGCAGGTCCGCGAGTACTACGCCGACCGGGCCCGCGACATGCAGGCACGGCTCGGCGAGCTGTTTGCGGCGCGGCTGCCGTCGGTGGCGGACACCCGCGATGAGCTGGTGGCCTCGCTCGCCGACCACACAGCCCTAGTCCAGGTCGAAGAGCTCTCCAAGCTCTTCCGTGGCGTCACGTCAGAGCTGGTCAACCTCGGCGGTGAAACGTGCGCCTCAATGGTCGACATTGCCGCCGAGCATGTGTTCCAGGCTGTCGAGATGCGGCTGCAGGACGCGCTCGACGACATCGAGGGGGTGCGGGCGGCGAACCGAGCGGCGGCCAAGGCGGCGCAACAGGACGCGGCGGCAGCCAAGGCCGCCAAGGCCGCCAAAGACAAGAAGAAGAAGGAGAAGAAGGTCAAGGACAAGGACAAGAAGAAGGACAAGGTCAAGTCCAAGGACAAGGTCAAGTCCAAGGACAAGGTCAAGGACAAGGTCAAGGGCAAGTCCAAAGACAAGGGCAAGGCCGAGGTGCCCGACGGGCCGGACGTCAAGCTCGAGGAGTTTGAGCGCAAGGAGGCTGCGCTCGAGCACAAGAACCGGGCGAGGGTGGCGGCCGCACCCAAGCGCAATCGGCGGCCGCCGTCGCGGCGGCCGCGCAACCGGGGCGGGCCGTCGGCATGAGCAAAGGGAACTCTTTCTCTTTAATCCTAGTGAGCAGTGCTATTCAAGCTTGCGCGGGCGGTAGACAACGCGACCGAGTGAGGACTTGCGGAGCTCGGCCGAGGCCCAGTCAATGGTGGCCAGATAGACCGACTTGTACTCAAAGGCCGGGAAGTCGAGAGCAGCGCGGGTAAAGAGCTCCTCGGCGACATGCCATCCGGCCATGATGGCCAGCGCGAGCGAGACCGAGTAGTGCGTCCGCCCGTGGATCTGGACGTAGCACATGGCGGCGACAAGGAGCCAGGCCGAGCGCTCGACAAGCCACATGGCCAGCGGCGAGAGGCCGGCGAGCACGTCGCCGATGGCCGAGTCGCGGACGGTGTGGCGCCAAAGACCGGCAAAGAGGGCCAAGTACATGACGTTGATCGACCAGAACGACGGCGAGCAGGCGATGAGCGAGCCGGCGAGCGCGGGGCACTCGGGCCGTGGAAACGGAGCATACGTCAGCACCATCATCGGGACCGAAACGAGCGAGAGAAAGAGCCAGAGGGTAGTCAGTCGACCCAGCAGGACCATTCGCTCGTGCGCGACAACAAAGAGCGTGACAAACATGGTGCTCGCCACCGCCACAACCATCTGCGCGCGCTCGTACAGCAGCTCGATCGGAGTGGCCGGGCGTCCAGTGCCAACCTGCACGCCGGCATAAGTGAAGCCGCGATCGGGCAGGGAAGCCTCAGCAGCAGGCACCTTGTTGATGGTGTAGTACGTTCTGAGGAGGCGGGAGAATGTTAGCCACATCGCCCGCACCGTGTCCGATACGATCACCGTATCCGCAACCGATCACAGCACCGTGTCCGATCAAGAGCGATATTTCAGAACAGAGTGAGTGCATGCAGAGAGAGACCGCATGAGAGTGATCATCATTACCCGCCCCCCCTCTTCCCCCTCCCCCCCACCACCTTCCGCCCTCCCCCTTCCCCCCCCCTGCCTTTCCGGCTCACTCGCTCTCGGCGGGACCGACGTACCTCACCCACAAGGCCAATGAAGTTGCCAAGACAGCAGCCAGGGCAAACAGAACATGCCGTACAGCTAGGTGCTGCATGACTTCCTCCCTCCCTCCCTCAATGGCAAGTCAAGTACTCGCGAGTGACGTTGTGCCGGTGGCGATAGCGGAGGCAGCGACAGTGACAGCAAAGTTGGCAGAGGGGGGGGGGGGAGGGAGGGGGGAAGAAAGGGGGATCAGAGATAGAGGTGAAGGGGGGAAGGGATCAAGATGCCCTTTGATGCTATGGATAGGTAGAGCATGGGGATCAGAGGGAAGGAGGGGGGGGGAGGGAGGGAGGGGGGGGGA